TATCTTATTGGCTTCCTCCTTTTTTTTTTCTATTATCTCTTTCACCAGCTGGCTGACCATTCACAGCCCTAGCCCAACACACCACTTCTGACATTTTATATACAGACCGCAGACAAACACACACACACACACACACACACACACACACACACACACACACACACACACACACACAGAGACACAGACACAGACACAGACACAGACACAGACACAGACACAGACACACACACGCACCCTATCGAACGGCGAGAGGGGCAATAGCGACGAGTGCGATGCAGAGCGGAAGGGACGCGCTGAGAGGGAGCTGACCAAGCACAAGGAGTGCACACACGCACATGATGTCGCGGGTGATAGAGGCGCGCCCAAACCAGTCTGCAAAGGCCGGGTTGTGCGCATGCGCACTGACGCTGACGGCGATGGTGACGACTGCGGTGATGGCTTCAAAGGGAAGGTCGAGGAGGAGAACGTACACGAGACCGTGGGCGCCCGATGTTGGCGCGAAGATGCCCGTGATCAGCTTGTGCAGCAGCAGTGCCTGGACAGCAACGGTGGCTGGTGGCCAGTGTGTGGCTGCAAGCACAACAGCAAACAGCAGCGTGGCAGCCATGGTTGTCCACACGCTTCCAGACACGCCAAGCACAACCAGCGAGTAGATGAACACGGCAACAGAGATGACAACAGCGCCTGGGGGCACTGGGGCTGGTCCGGGCTGTTGCTGATCATTGCCGTTGTTGTCGTCGCCGTCGTCGTTGTCATTGTGGTGGCCGCGAGCAATGGCGAGGGTTGTTGGGTGCGTGGTGGTGAAGTACACCAGCGCGCCAGTCACGATGCACAGGAAGGTGTTGGACGTGTGACCAAATCCAAGCGTGTTGAGCTGCAAGGCGTACTGCACAAGCAGCGCGACATACAGGCCCACTTGCTTGCCGATGCGTACAACATCACGTTGTTGTTGTCGTTGTTGTTGTTGTTGTTGTTGTTGTTGTTGTTGTTGTTGGCGGTGGTGTCGGCGTTGTCGCGGCAGTCGCAGTGGCGGATACTCTGGAAATTGGATTCGGTGAACTGGTGATGGTGGCGATGGTGGTGGTGGCGGTGATGGTCGCCTTTCCAACACGTGGTGTCGTCGCTCTTCTCGCCGTTCCCGTCCGCGATGTTGCTGTGCGCGCTGCCCAAGCCCTGCAAAGTATTGTGCAAAGTGTTGCCCCACTTCCGGACGCCGTTCGGCCATGTTGTGTTGTCGCCGCTCGACTCGCCTCCGCCTTGGCGCTGCCTGTGGTTGTGCCACGTCAACGCGGTGCGCTTCTCGCTGCTGCTGTTGCCTGCGGCGTGGGGCGGCGTGTGGTGGAGGCAGCGGCGGGAGATCACGGAATTGCATGACGACGCGACGGACAGCGGGGAGCGGAGCTTCTGCACCGCCAGCAGCACGCAGCGCCGCCCGCACCTGTTGCAGCCGGCTCACAATGGATTGCACTTGGGCGCGGATGCCCAGGTCCTGCAGCTCACGATCGAGGCTCTGTTGCGCACGCGGGCGAAGCATGTTGTGTGTGAGAAGGGGGGGGGGTTCATGGAAGTGGGGGTTGACATGGGGACAGGCAACGCATGCTGTGCTTGGGAACCAGCTGTCAAGCAAACGTGCACACACATGCATGCAAGCATAAACACGCAAACATGGGCACAAATACAAATGCACGAGCAGGGGCACAATCACACACATGTGCAAGCAAACACACACACATGTGCAAGCAAACACACACACACACATGTGCAAGCAAATACACACATGTGCAAGCAAACACACACACACACACACGCACACACACACACACACGTGTGTGTGCATGCAGATGTGCACGCACTTGGGCGAGTTGGTGAGCGATGACGGGGCTGATGGGGTTATTCACGAGAAACAGAACGAGGCGGCAAAGGCGGAGGTCGTTCTGTGACTTTTGAATCTGCTCTGGCCGTGCAAAGAAGCGGTTGGCGTTGTAGCTGAAAGGACACATTTTGACGTGGGTGTGGCAGTCGTGCTCCGACTCGTGCGCAGAACAGCAGAGCGCACAGAAGTGCTGATTGCAATGTGCCTGCTTGCACTGGAGCGCACAGCAGCCGTCAAAATCGAAAAATGCCGTGTGGCAGTGTGGGCAGGCCAGCGTCAGCACGTCGTTGATGACGTCCAAACGAAGCAGGCGCACGTTGTGCTCGTCCTCGTGATGAGCGTCGGCTTCAGCTGCTCGACGTGGGTGGCTGCCATGTCTGCGGTTGTGTTGCTCTGCCTCCACGCGCCCCTGAGCGTCGGTCGTGCATGATGCGCAGCTTGTGCATGCGTGAGATTGGGGTTGAACCAGCCAGCATAGGAGGATGGCCCTGATGCATGGGGCGGTAAACAGAGAGAGGCAGCAGGGAGCAGACGGGGGCGACGGGGAGGAGGGAGAGGGACAAGGGGAAGGGGCATGGCAGAGATGAAGGAGAAGGAAGAGAGATAGAGGGGAGCGAGGCATATGGGGGGGGGGCGTAGAGACGGAAACTTGCGGACACGCAGGCACTTGCGGACACGCAAGCACTTGCGGACACACGGACACTTGCGGACACGCAGGCGCTTGCGGACACGCAGGCACTTGAAAGCAGATGCGGACACTTACAAAGCCACGCATGCACACGGACATGGCAGGTGTCAGGTTACCTCGCGACGAGCGATGTCGCGCCTGGTGTCGAGGAAGCGAGCAGCGAGTTGGGAGGAGATGAGGCGGACCACAGGCACGTCTGAGATGCCCTGGTTGCAGGTGGAGCATTTCAGGGCGCCGTTCTCCGTCAGGGCGTACTGGTTGTTTGGGTCATTGATGGCCGATGTCACCTGCACTTCAATGCAGTCCTTGCAGGTACCGTGTCCCTGAGCGCATGTCACGCCATCATGCGGGCCATCAATGTCCGACCCGCACACGCTGCACTCTGTACGGTGTTCCATGGACGGATTGTGTGTGTGTGTGTTGTGTGTTGTGTGTTGTGTGTTGTGTGTGTGTGTGTGTGTTTTGCTGGTTTGCCTCTGCCCCTGCTTGCCTGTTTCCTGTTCGAACGACCAATAACTTCTGTCGTCTGTCGCTGGTTGCTCGCTGGGATGACTGTGTGGTTTTTGTGCGAGTTCAAATCAACAATTATAATTTTTGTGCGGTTTTCCGGCCTTCTGCTGAACCCACAAGTGTGCAAACTGGTTCCACAGCATGATAAGCAACTGATGACCCATCTAGAAATCAGGATTGTACTCTTTAGGATCATTTCTATAGTAACTATCCAGCTTTAGTCCCTCAACTAAGGCAAAGCTTTGAAGCACGATGACGACAAAGAGGTCGTTGTCCTGAGCGTGAGGCAGGTGCACGTTGAATGGCTTTTGCCGCTCGCGTGAGCCCTCGATGATCGCGCGCTGCCCGCCGCTGGCGGAAAGCACATGGACTTCGGACCAGTCCGAATGCTCTTTTCTCGTTTTCATCCAAATCAAAAGAAACGTACTGACATGTTTTGATGGAACAGCCATGTGTGTGTGTGTGTGTGTGTGTGTGTATGTGTGTGTGTGTGTCCAGCGTTTACTGTTGCATGTATGTACATGTGCTTCTAGCTGCGCATCGAGAGCTCTCAAAACACGTACATGTGGTCAAGCCCAAGGAAGGTGGCGTCGACCGAGACGACGCGCGAGCGCACGGTTGTGAATATGATAGAACGCATCCACTTCCTTCTTCATCTCAGGTGACAACAGCTCCTTGCTATGCCTAATGTGCATGTGTGTGTGTGCATGTGTGTGTGTGTGTGTGTGAACAACCTTCTCCTTCTCTTCACCTCACGACACATTCACTTCGCTGGCAGCAAGCGTACCCTCGCGCACTCGCACCAGGCACCATCCAACCGCCCAATCACTCACCGGTTCACGTTGTGTCTGGTAATGCGCTGCAGCACCTCCTCCCACTTGCCATAGGATGGTATCCCAAGGAACCGCTCCACCTGCTGCAGGACCTAGTCACAGCGCAGCGTGACACACACACACACACACACACACACACACACACACACACACACACACACACCACCACACACACACACACACACACACACACGCGCGCGCGCG